TATTGTATAACAGTAATGTGTCTAAATTAAAGTACCTGGGAATAATAAAAAAGATGTTCTAGGAGAAATTTAAGAAACCTATTTTAGTGCCTGTGGATTGTGAAAACAACCTGGCTGTTAAAAATTGCCCAAGTTTGTGGTCTGATGGCCTGTTGTGATATATTATTTACTTGTGTGTCTTGAATACTTAAGAGGGAAGTATTTCTTTCTTGCATATTCAAATGAGCCAGAGTGATTTAGTTAGTATTAAGTTTTATGGTAAAGAAAATGTGATAGGGTCAGTTTCAGTTCTCTGCAGTCTTGCTACCACTTGGTTATTTTGACAGCACACTACATCTGTATTATACTTTCCACTTATTTCTGAGTATGTGTGCTGCAACTTATGGTTTCTGTTTGCACATTCATTTCATATTCTTCTTGCATGTTGTCATTCGTTTCATTGTCCAGCAAACTTAGGAAATGTGACAGGTTCAGGTGATGCAGCATGTTGGGTTTTTCTTTCAGTATTTATGTTTAGAACTCTTAAACAATATGTTATTTTTAATTTATAAAGAACTATCTATATTTAATTATTGGTAACTAAGTGTAGTGAATTAAAAAAAATACTCTTCCATTTAAACATTCTTACGTATGTATGTGGTAGTTGAATCTTAAGTGGCAGATGAAGGATGCAATTCAGAGCATGTAAGTTTCTGTCTTCAGCTTCAGTCATCATATTAAATGAAGCTTGGAAAATATGATTAGTCGATTTTAAAAATCAGTAAAATCGGTGCTGTGAAATAATTACAATGGACTGGTGAACTGCAATTACAGAATATGTTCTAAGTAATTAATTATCTTGGGTTCTAGTCTGTATATTCCTTTCTTCTTTTATTTTATATATTTTTAATGCATGCTATCATTTTATAAAATATGAATACTATTAAGTTTACTAAGAAATATTCATACCTGTGAGGTACTTTATTTTCTGCAGGTTTTAAGATGTGAAACTTGCAGCATAGTTTAGGAAATCCAAAACTACAATTGTAGAGATGAGAACAAGGGGACAAAATTTCTAGTCACATGAGAATATTGCTGATGGTATGGCTATTATTCTTTTAAATGATGTTTTAAAATTTTCCTCTTTTTAAGTATAGGTTTATTTAATTGGGATAAAGGTTAGATAATTATGTATGATTTGTTATCATTCTGTGCTACATGCGGTAGTCCATTTCATCCAGTCTCAAGCACACAGTAATGTGTGTTTGATATAACTACCAGACTGCTGGAAACTTGTGAAAATATTATTTTATTCAATTTTCAGGCATGAAAGTCCTGTAGAGTTAACTTCATCAAAAAGGCATTGTTTGGATCAGAGCTGTGTTGTTACTTTTAAGTCAGTTGTTTGAACTTCAGTAGAACACTTCACAGCAGTGCAGCTACAATTTCTAGGTTTCAATACTTTTTCAACATCTTGACATGTCACTGGCTTACAAGTAGCAATACAAAAAGGACTTACACTAGTGTGATTGTACTGTAGTCGGTAAAACTGAAAATAGATCTGTAAGGAGAAACTGTTGATTACCATTTTGCCCAGTGGCTTCCGTAAGGCTATTGAATTCCATGTGAAAGTTTCATGGAAAAATATTATATTCATCCCCATTATCACAACTTATCAACACAGTAAATAGGTTATTTTGGTTGCTTCAAAGGCTATATATTATTATCAGCTGAAAAATGCAACCTAATAATATTTTATGCTGTTTTGCAATATGTGAATTGCCTTATGTAGTGTATACTTGATATTAATGTGTTTTATAATTACTTTGAAAGGGTTTCATTCTGGAAAATACTTTAATGTTTAGTGTAAATGTTTATGTATTTTATACATGTCTTGTCAGTTCTTGCCATAATATTATTTTATTTTTTAACTCATGGTATACATTGTAATAATGATGAATAACAGGTGGCTGTACTTGCCTCAGAAGTATGGCAACATTCCCAACCGTATGTTAACACACTTTTGTTATAATTAACATTATCTTCCTTTGCAACAAATTTATCCTGGTCAGTTCTGTACAAGTATCCATAAGTTACGGTTGAATCACTAGAATGATGGATAACTAGGTTATGATATAATGTTTTATTAGCACACTAGACCTATTATAAAGGAGAATTTTCAGCATTATGTTAGTACATTAACTTACATGTATATAATTAATCCTGAAGTTCTGGAAGATTTAAATAACATGAAGATGGAGGAGTTGAGGCTTCAGATTCACAAAATATGCACATTTGGACAAAAATGACTATAACTTGTTCAGTTTTAATTGGATTTTGTAGACAAGTCCTGTAATATCTGCAAAATATCTTAGTAACTCATATTTGTGTGTGTCCTTTACTACATTCTGTAGCCCAGATGTACCAGTGAAAAGTTTCCCCTTTGCCCTATAATTTCACATGCCTTTCCATTTGAAATCTTGTCACTAACACCACTTCATCACTTGATTGTCATCATTATTCACTAATGTGTCAGTGCATCATCATTACTGTCTGAATGCAGTAAACTTTCTGAATCACTTAATCAAAGATATCAAGCAGTTGCTGCTCTGACAGCACCACTGATCTCTTCAAGTTTCTTGCAGCCACTGCAGCCTTCAACTCGGAAACCAAGGTGTGACAAAATACAGCCTGCTAATATTTATGCATTAATATTCCCTTTTTAATTATACTCATTGTTTTTATTTTATATTTTATCTAGCATAAACTTGATGGGATCACCCAGGCAAAGACGTTCAGTGACATGTGATGCATGTGCTAATCCAATATGAAGTCAGCTTTGTAATGACTTCAGTCATAAGGAACATGACATACTGGAAATTGCAAATACCGAAAGGGACAAAAATGTGCATGAACAGCGGTGAAGGCTTTTTACATTAAATGTGGAATTTTATGGTTTGATGTAAAAATATAAATAGATTTTATGCAGTTCTTAAAGCTGCAGCCTATTGTGAAAAGTGAACAAGTACATCTAGTCTTTATGCCTTAATGTATATTTTCTCATGAAGACAGAGGTAATGTCTCAAGTATGGATTGCCCATAGCAGTAATGGTCTTCCAGTTGTATAATTATATTATGCTGAATTTAAATAGCCACTATACCCATTGCCAGCTAGATTTATTTAATTTTGCACATTTAAATAAGAAGATGCTTCCTAATGAAAAATTGTTCATAATTGTACATATCTTTTAAACTACTAACTCTAATATTATGAAATAAGAAGTATACTCATGAAAATAAAACAGATTAGCCCATAAAAATTCTAAAAGCTATTCTGGACCACATAATGAATTGATTATCTCTGTAGGAGACTGACAATTTCAGCAGATTTTTTAAGTATCTCTTAGGGAGTTTCTGGCACTAAGATCAAACCTGAAATTCTTAGGTGTTAGATTTTGAGTTCATTTTTAAAAGAATGGTTTGATATAGTATAAGGAATGTAAAGCACTCTGCACACTTGTAGTCATTGATGGCTGTGTAAGAACATATTATTTGCTTATAGTTACAAATATTGGAAAATATACCCATTTTATTTCTATATTGTCCCTTATTATTGGGCAACTTTTAGACACCAGGTGCTAACATCACTTTTTTGGAGCTATGTAATAAAATTCCAAATTTTTTAGCATTTAAAGATGGCCTAAATAAAAACTTAAAAGTTTTCAAATACAATAATGGATATTAAATTTGTAGTGAAACACTGTAATAAGTTCAACTAATGTGAAATAATGTTTTTTAGTGATTGTATGAGTGAAAAAATCACCAAATTTATAACTATTGTTGTAATGTCTGACAGTAGTCTGTAATCAATGAGATTTTGTATATTACATATGGAAACCACAGCTTGTTAGCTTCATTATGAAGTATATGCTATTCTCATTATGCCTTTCAGCAAAAGTGCGGGGATTGGAAACATTTGAAGTTTTAAGATATTAAACAACACTGAAAATTATATGGTAATTTGCATTCACTGTTGTAGAATCAGATAAAATACACCATATCATTAGATGCTTGTTTACACTTTTTTTAACGTGCCAAGAAATAGCGTAAGACTTGGATGTCACAAATGTTCCAGTTGTGAGACGGGCTTTTTCTGGTGGCATTCAGTGGTATGGCATACTGGAATCACCCCATTTTGTCACTGTACTGGCTCATTTATTTCTATGAATGTAAACTCTGTGTGTGTGTGTGTGTGTGTGTGTATAATGTGTTGTATGATGAGTTAATTAAACAAGTAGCCTGTGGTTCACCTAACTGGTGTAAAAGGGTTCCCATATTATGTTGAGTAAAATGTATATATATTTAATTTTAAAAAATTATTTTAATGAAATGTATGTGTGTAATTGTGATGTTGGTGAAATGTTGATATGTACTATATCAACACACACATATATATAAAATCACTGTATTAAATGAGTAATAGGAAACAAAAGGTTTCCCAAAATTGCAGCAATAATTCTTTTAGCACTGGTGTGATATTGATTTCATTGGCATTTGCTGTAGTTACACAGAATACTGGATGCCTTCATTGTTCCTTGACTAAGAACTCCTTTTTAGCAGTGTTTGTGTCCCTTTGGAGTGTGTTAAAATTTCTCCATATGCATGAAACAATGCAAATATGGATAAACTAATTTTGATTATACTGAATAATGTGATATGAGATCTTACATCACTTGTTATGATATACTTTTAGGAAGTTTTCATTGGCTTTTGCATATTCATTTGTCATTGCTGGAACACACTGTTGCACAACAGTGGGAACCATGGTCACTATTAGCCACATTATTGCAATTGGAACCAAGGTCATTATTGGCTCACAGCAGTGACCTTAGATCACATTGCAACAATGACCTGAGATGCCACAGTTGCCCTTGTTATACCTTTCAATTAAAAGTAATCTTAGACCACGGTTCCTTTGAGCTGTGGTTATCGATGAAGCAGCCTGCTGACGTCTCCACCTGTGGCATGGTGTAAGAACCTTTGGAATTGAAGTATGCTCATTTACAATATTGTTTATATATCTGTATATATCACTTCATGGGTCTGTATTTGACAGTGCTGTTCACCATCATCAACCTGGATTTTTAAATTCACTTTCTGTCATTGCTGCTATGGGAAAACAAATACCCCTTATACCGGGTCTACAATTTATGCTGTAACGGCCTTGCTTGCATTGCGTGCTCGGCCGAGTGCACTGTTGGTGTGGGATAGAGATAGCGTGTTCTTCCCGTGAGTCACAGGCGAATCAGTTTCAGTGCTGCTAGTAACAGCGAACTACGAATATTTCTCGTCACTAACACATGTTATTACATTAATTTTCTTACCTTAAATCACAAAAGATGTTCAAAGTGACTTCCTTGTGCTTGCAGGCAAGCTTCACATCTCGTTAACATGTTTCGAAATACTTGACGAAGCTCTTCTTGGGAAATTGCCGAAATGAATTGTGGTTTCCTGTTCTTCTTTTTATCCAAAACTGATCCCGTACTACAAATTTTTTTTATTAATCTCTCTATCGTGGGCCTGCTAGGAACACTTTCACCGGGAAAATGTCTGCGATATTTACGGCGGCATCTTCCGTAGGATGAATATTTGGCATATGTTTCGACTAAGAACACACGTTGCTTAATACTGTACACCATATTATCAACGTCAATCCGCGACGAGAGACGCAATGAAACTGATTCGCCTGTGACTCACGGGAATAACACGCTATCTCTATCCCACACCAACAGTGCACTCGGCCGAGCACGCAATGCAAGCAAGGCCGTTACAGCATAAATTGTAGACCCGGTAATATCTCGATATTATGTCGGAGGGAATAAACAGAACAATGTTATGGTTGGCCTATGATTCATTCCCGAGACTCATAGAATAGTTGTGTTTGTAACTTCTCTTAAAACGTATCTCTACGAGGTAGTTTTAAATAATTCAAGTATCGTAATTTAAATCACAATGTGCTGTAAGAAAAGTTAAAATTAGAGCTACAAAGTTAGTGTACAATTTCGACCTTCGGGGCAAACACCGTCGAATGATGAACGTGAACGTACATCGTCAAGCACTGCAGTTGCAATGTTTGGAGTGAATATCTGTGGGAGGATAATTTATTTATTTCGTGTGTATTTAACGACCCTGATAGAAGGTCCGTACAGTAGCATCAAATGATGGAAATATTAATGAACACTAAACTGGGAACGATGTGTAAGGAAGCTGTCGCGAACCTGCCTGTGTAGTCGGTCTCGTGTTCGATGTGTTAAGCCCACGGGCGTAAACATTACATTGTCACTTTATTTTGTATGTTTGCACGCTTTAGGGAAATGTTTATGATGCACATTTCTGTATAACTCAGGACAGAGTTCAGGAATTTAATCTAACCTAAGTCATATTGAAAACAGCAGGTAGCTGGTTTAAAAGAAGTAGAAACAAGTTTATTCAGAGCGTCTTGAAGTTAGCCATCCTAGTCAGAATTCCAACCTACTCTCAGCCATTATATGAGTAATGAGAAAATCTGTAAAAAGACAAAGTTAGCTTCTTCAAAAAATGTTACCACATGCCTTACACTGATCAAGTAATTAAATACAAATGTCTTAAAGCTGCTATTTATTTATTTTCAACCACTTCCCTGTTATTTGGGAAAATTACTGTTCCAGAGTGCTCAGTGCGGTGTAACCTACTTCAACTGAAATATCAGAAATAATCATATAAATTGTACGTAACAGTATAAGTCACATGTAAAAAAATGAGACGTAGTTAATTCGTACGTCTGCTGTCACAGCATAAGTAATTAAACACTTTGCCACTGGAACTGAATACTGATGAAACTTCTTGCCAAGGTCCCCATTTTGACAAATGCTCACATAAAATATGTTAAAAAGTTCAATGTATGGTACATAAAGCAGTGTGTTCACATATCCATCACTATTTAAGAACTCTGAAGTTAATATTTTTATGTACAGATTAGATAAGTTACCTGAATTGTTATTTTAGATCTGCGTTGTTACTGAATGCAGTCATTATCAGTGTTAATGTTAGTTACATTTAAGTTCAAAGCATATGTTTACAGTCCACTGAAGATATTATTATGACCAAATACAGTTTATATCAAATATTTTTATTTACAATGAGTATGTTGGAGAAGGATAGAGTTGTAAAGCATTAGCTGCATTTATATTACAGACCTGTTTCAGTTGAATATCCTTTAATGGCTTGATATTGTTTTAATTTACTGATTTAATGTTAACCTAATATTATAAAGCCATTTAAAGAGTTCAGCTGTACTCCCTTAAAATACACATAAAAATGCAAGGAAAAGATTGTGTGAATGTTGTACATCTTTAGCAACACTGCATGTGTGTGTGTTCATATATAAGCAGAGGCATAAATGTGAATTATGGATCTAGAAAAAAAAGAATATTTAGTGAATAGTTCAAATGTGTATCTGGAGTGCATAGGCACATAATCTTATTAGCTTATTTTTTTAAATTTACTGGTTTTGATTTTTCGATACCTTTCCAATTTCTTGTTTCCGGCATATTAATATTGTAGATTAAATTATAAGTGAAGGATTATGATAACTTGATTGTGTAATTGCTTTAATGTATTTGTTGCCTTAGGTGGAAAGTAAAGACATGTTGGTAATCAGTATTTCTGAGATTTCTCATGCATGGGCCTTACTTAAGATATGCACATCATATTATTTTCCATTATGATTAAGGAAAAATTATTACTGTTTTACATGTAAAGATTATTAATAGTTAAATAGCATAAAATAATATGCTTTTGTTATGGATTCATAAATGTTAACTATTTTCTATATGTGATTGTGACTCATCTGAAATTCCTGTGTCCTTTGTGTTATGTCTCTGCTTAAGAACACCAACACTTTATCACTAAGGAACTCTTTTATCTTAAGCTCTTGTGCCATTCTGATTATGTGTATGTTTTGCAATTTATTGACATCAGTGCTTTGTGAATACAACATAATGTAAGTTGAGGTTCAGAAGAGTTTTTTTAAATATGTTGCAAAGATGTGCAACAGAATATATACCTTAAAAGTCTAATTTGATATTGATAAATCTGAAATCATGGTTGACGTATGTTAATAGCATGCATGGAGATGGATGTTTATCCTTCACCTTAATTTTCTTGCTACACTAAGCAAGAAAGGAGAGGCCACAATGTGGTTACTTCACTGCCTTTTATTCACCAATGTATCTCTATTTTATTGTAGTGAAGTCTATGCTCAATTGTTTATTACTATAAATTATGACACTCTTTATGTCAGATGAGGTGAATGTGTGATTTGCTATGGGAGTAATGTGTACTGATTTGCTGGAAGGATTAAGGTAACAAATAGTAACAAATGTGGTAGCAGTGCCAAAATTGTGCTGGCTTGTTATATGTCAGATTCTTCAAGATATAGAGGAACAAAAAAACATCAAACATTATTTTAAGAAATTGTGTGAAAACATGATAAAATGGGAAATCGATGTTTTTAGTAATGTTTACACTGAAATTTCAGTAGAACTAAGGGGACAGACATATAATTTTATTAGTAGTATGATGCCAACAAATTGGATGCCACTAATATGTATGTTTAAGTCTAATTAATTTATCATTTAATCTGATGTTCTGTATCATAAAATGTGTCAATATTTTGTACATAACCTTCGGTTGAATAGTTAATGTACAAAATAGGGATGTTGAATGTACTATTCAGATACACATTCCTCCTGCTTCCTTTGATCCAGACAATTACACAATGGTTTACACCATAGCCCCCTTGAGCTTCAAGGTCATAAGGAACCACATATTTTATAGCAGTGTCTCATTTGCTATAATTTGTTTGGCCATGTTTTTCTCTGTGGAAAAAAGATTATAGTTGTTTTTCTTTTCAGATGCAACAAAAAAGTGTTAAAAACCAATATTGTAGCAAACACTTGAATGAACAAAGCATGTCCCCTTCCTGAACACAATTGAATCAAATTATTGAAAGTATAAATGTGCTTGTATAGTTAATTTGTGCTCAGTTATTGTAACATCTGATGTCCAAATATTACTGAAGGTTTTGAAATGAATTCTGCTATGATTTCCTGCTTCATTTGTCACAATTTGTGTCAGCATGTATATATGCGCTGTTTATGGGCAGAACTGCATTCATATTTAAACATTTAAGTATGTACTTAAACATGTGACTTCAGTACAATTTAAAATACTGAGAGACCAAAAAAAAAAATTATTTTATTATTACTAATACAAGTGTACAAATTATAAATGTGACATTTAAAATATTTTGTTGTTATATGTATACATTTAAAACATGCAATAAAGTATAATGCATTTGCTCGTTACTTGGATAATTTTATTACAAGTATTCCTATTATCCTCCAGTTTGAACACATTTTGATTCTTGTGTTTGTTCCATCAACCAATGTTTCCAGTTTCCATCGACACATTTTTCCAGAGTTACTTCTTTAAATACTGCACTCTCACTGACCTTAAACAAATTGTGCAATTTATTATACAGAATATTCATTTTATAAGAGACTGTAAAGACCAAGAAGAAAAAACACAAGGAAATAGCTTAGTATAAGAAGAAGCTTGAGTGTTAGCCACTTGACCATCACATTCCATTTTTCAGTGATATATTAGTAAAAAGTACTTCCAATACTGTCATAACAGCATGATGCACTTTTAAGAAGATAAGCTTGCACATTTAATACAAATATCTTCTGATCACAGAGTTAGGTCAATAAATTATATGGATTTAAACAGCACACTCCAAAAGAGAAACATGCATTGGTTAATTTTGCAAATGCACACACACAATATTTGACAGCTAAGAATAATTAAAACAAAGGAAAAAATATTGATATTCAGTTAATGGTGAAAACTGTAGAATTACATTCTTACATATTCACTGGAGAAAACAAAGAATTCACTGGAAACCATGGTCTTCTGGGTTTGAAACTGTGTAGTTTTTAAGTGGTTCTCAACATTTTAGAAGTGTTGGTAACCACATACAAGACTACATGGCATAACAACCCAAAAGACCGACCTACATTCTCATTGCCATGATAACCTAAAATCTCACAAAAAAATTCACTGCTGTATATAGAAAAGACAATTGGTAATGGAATTTCCCTCCATACCAGATCAAATGATTATACTGTCAGGACTCATTCACTTTTTGGTGATATTGGGATACATCACATAAGGCACTTACTTACAACTTCATATTACAGAGCTTTCAAAGACTGAGACTTACTCTTGCAAATCCTATTTTCTGAAACATTGATATACTTTTGTTATTGTCAAGGTTTATCTTTGCCTGGAATTTTTCTACAGCTAGTTCCTCACAACCTGGAATAAATGAAGTTGATTCAAAATCTGCCATAATATTGAGACTTTGTATGAAAGAAAAATGTGACAATTACATTAACATACCATAACGTAACATAAGTAGCACTGCTTCCCATCCACGTCGCTTTCTTCTAACATTGTTTTCAGCTATCATAATTTCTACTTCAGCCAATCGTGTACAGTCCTCAGAATCATAGAGAAAGAGATTAGTATCTCCTATCATAGCACCTATAGGCAAAGGAACTGTGACTGCAGGTGCGGAAACAGTTGTAATACAGATAATGTTAAAACAGTTGTGACATATTTGAAAATTCATAACTTACCAATTTCATCTCTAGTGTTCTCAAATACAGACTTTTCTAGAATGATGAAGGTGCATTCTGCAATTTTAAAAGTTACTAAATGAAATGTGACACTAAGAATCAAGGTAATTTGTACACAGTATATATATGGGGCTGGTTTCTGAACAAGAGATGGTCTTATATGAGACAGGTGTGGCTGATCTGTTGGCAAGTCACCACAACCTCATGATGGACAGAACAAATAATCATGCTGATATTTCTTCCACAAAAGGGTGATGTAAAACTATTTTGTTTGAAACAGTACTGCCAACATGTTAAATGGATGAAAAAACCTGCTAACATGCCTTTTCCAGTATGTGAAATACACTCACATGATTTACTCACTATCTTCATCCATTAGCCAACTCTTCTGCATTTCATATTCTTCACTAAGGGATAAAGGCTCAGAAGCAGTCAAAAGTTGCAGTTCTGGAGATTTCATCCATTCATGGTACCTACAAATGAAAATGTACATAACACCCACAATATAATAAATGTAGTATAACAATTAAACGTTTAATAATGAATTATTGTTCATCTTCACATATTAGACCCCTCAGTCCATTTTGGTTTAAATGCAAGCTGCAGTCTCTAATGAATCACTCATCCTGCTTAATGACAATTTCCTGAATTCTTGTCCTGGCACAGGTTAGTTGTGATACCAATAAACCTGTTTGTATAGGAAAATGTATTTAATGCAGCAGTTTTAATTCATGTCATAAAGATCTACTGTAACAATAGAGTTTATCAGAGTGACACAATATTGATAATGCTCATCTCATCCTATATATATATTATATACACAATGTATGAGGTAGGGAAACATGACATGCTTGAATGCAGCTGTTTGCAAGAACCTTCCAACACATAGACAAAAGACGTAAAGTACTGAATGCTATCTCATATGTCAAACGTAGTTATACTGACACGTGGGTTTATTCGGGGCCACACACCAGAACGACCTCCTATCCCAAGTGAACTGTAAATTTGTTATACAGCTTACATATACGTATTCCGGTATAAATATAACAAATAAACAAAACAAATATGTACTTTGGAACATGTTCTGCCTTATAAGGAACCAAAATAACATTTTTCCCAAGAATTTGTGTGAATCTGTTTTTCTTCATATTTTCACTCCCCTAACAATTCAAACACTCAATTATCTGTGAATGCTGGGAGATATTCCACTTCTTTCGACAAACGGTTTAAAATCTCTGATTCTATGGTTCTAGGTGTGATGCCACATCCAATTGTTGGCTTTCGTCTTTGGTATAGTTCTTCTTCTTGGTATTCACAGAGGAAAATTCCCCCACGGATGAAAAAGGACACAGCGGAATGGACTGAAGCAATATCTGAATGGCCAATCCGTCGATTTTGTGTATTTTTTATATCAGTGATCCGTGTTTCTCTATGTGGTATTGTTTACAACATTATTTATCTGTGCTGCCAGTTTTGGTAACATGCTCACTTTAAATAAATGTTACTGGGTTGGAAATAAAAGAGTAACATGTGTTTAGAGACAGTTGCATTACTTAAAGTTACATATGGTACTTTCTTGCAGCTGCCGGTCATGTAAAAGTAATGTACAAAGATAAAAAAGAATTGTTCAATGAGTATAATGAAATTCTCTTGGTTCTGCTATAGACGCCATTGGCCTGTTTTAAATATTTTGTGTGGAGGTATATAGAGGTTAACTTCAAATATAATGGCCTATAATTATCCAGCGGTGGGAAATCCACCTCTTCCGCCAGGTGCATTGAGTAAGCATAATTAATTATATCCCTTATGTTGTACATACATTGCATTTGTTGTTACCGGCTGGGACATGTTGGACCTTTTGGAATTTGCGTTTATTGTGAACATTTTTTTAAATGCCTTGAGATTTACGTTTTAAATTCGCTTAACTCATTCACTGTGTTATAAGATCTTCGTACTTACCCTTTTAGGAGACCTTTTTCATAGGTGATATTTCAGGTTCTCATGGAAGCATCCATCGCCCTGATGATGGAGGCAGTAGGTACCTCTGTAACGTCGGAAACTTTTCCCAGGTGGTATGACGCAGTATCCCAGATGACAGTCATCTGTACCTTTTCCACAATTTCCCATCTTCATTTCAGAGTTCAGGAATTTACTGTCAATGGCTGCCATTTTAGCATTCTTTTATCTTTCTTATTTTTGCACTCGTGAAAGTCCATATTTATATCTTAATTGCTGTATTCTGTGCACTATGTGAAGTGGCAGGATAGAGAAAGTGGGAAATTTTCTGTCATTTAAGGCAACCATTGCTTCTAAACCCTTCATGTTTGAATGCTTGCTGTATTGTTTTAGATCCACCACCTCCACCACCACCAATGGCCCCAATGCCAATGGGGATGATGGGGCCACAACAAGGTATGGGGCAGGCTATGCCAATACCTGGCCCAATCATGCCTCAAGGATATATACCAGGACCAATGATGACAGGACAGCCTCCTCAACCAGCACCACCAGGAACACATCAACAACAAATACACATGCAGCAGATGCAACAAAATATGCTAAATCCTGCCATGAATGATGCACCGCTTGAGTTCAACATGAATAAAAATAAACCACCAATGCCAATTTCAGGTATGTAAGAACGTTATCAATTTTAACATTTGTAAAAATGTTTGTATGTTATAACATATGTGGAATCATATGCGTTTGAGACTTCCCCAAAGGGTAAATTTTAGCATTTCATTTTCTTTGGTACCAGAATTTATGGCATATAAAGTGACATAATTAACCACAAAGGCACTTTTTTTACCTAAATTATGAAAGTCACTTAGACTGCTGAATTTCAATTTGCATTTTTATGGTATCTTGTTTTCATTATATGAGGGTAGAACTAAGGATCTATGTGAAAAATTATGTCTATGGCTTTAAGAAAATAGGAAAATGAAGAAAATTGCATGTTTCATAGGTAGTGTATTTCACATGTATTATTAGGGTGATTAGGTTAGGGAGGCTGAGATGGGACTAACATATAGCATGGAGGGGATAATGAATGAAGGGATTGCTAAATTTTGTTGTGAAACTTAATGGAAATATGCCACTTGAGAAAACAAATGAATTAACAGAATTGAACTAGTTCATTGTAAGATCAAAGGCTGTGATAATGATGTTGATCATTTTTCATGATTGTTGAAATTTTTTTGATTACTTACTAAAACTCTGTAGCATGAAGTTAGATTTTTTTCTTATTTGTTTATATGGAATGTATTACTTTGAGTTTAAAAGATTGTGTATTTGTAAAGTGGTTTCATAAAAGTGAGCTATAGCCATCACTTATGTGTGGGTAGTCCACAGAATCAGTATGGACATAGTGATAGAGAAAGAAAAAATTTCCCTCATCAGGAATTAAACCCTGATACCTCAGTTCACAGCCTGTCATGTTACTAATGAACTGTCATAACTTAATTCAGATTTGAAATCGTACATAAATTAATTTTCAGTTTATTAGTAAATAAGAGTTTTGAAGGCATCAGTATTCATTGCAGGTGAGGATCGCAACAGTGGCCGTAACAATGAAGAATCAAATGGTGGTAATAGTGGAGGGGGTGCAGGAGGTGGAATTAGTGGCAGTGGAAGTGGTGGCATAAGTGGAGGAAGTGACAATAACAGAAGGGAGAGGCGAAATCGAAGTGATCGTCGAGATCGTGATCGTGATAGAGATAGGGAACGAGAACGTGACCGTGATCGTGACCGAGAAAGGAGGGATGATAGAGAAGGTTCAAGTAACAGTGGCAGTCACAGCAATTCTGTACAGCAACAAAATCAACCACCTCAACAGCAACCAGCTACACCTAACAGTAATAATGCAGCTCCTAGTATGCAGTCACCCAATAACATGCAACCTGCACCCATTGGTGGTGCACCAAACAACATGTGGGGAAGCATGATGGGACCTATGGGTTACCCAATGATGGGTATGAATATGAACATGATGGGAGGTGGTATGATGGGAGACCCCAGCATCATGAGCATGGGACAAATGGGCCAGGTGAGTAGGTGCCTTTGATGCACATGCATTTAATGTGGGGTGAACAATACTTTTGGAATTTCAGTTTATTCCAGAGAGTACATCTTTCCAATTTTTTTCTAACAACTGTTGCATCTTAAATGTTAAGTAATATATTATTACTCTTGCAGTATGGAATGATGGGTGGAATGATGCCAGATGGAAGTATAGTAGGTCCTGATGGAACTATGATACCATCTGACCCAAGCATGTTGGCAGGTCCTATGGTGAAAGAGATAATTCATTGCAAGTCATGTACACTATTCCCACCAAACCCCAATGCACCACCACCCACAACACGAGAGAGGCCACCTGGCTGCCGAACAATTTTTGTGGGAGGGCTACCTGAAAATACCACAGGTAAAACCCGTAAATTGCATTCTGATTTAGTTTCTATTCTGTGAAACCAAATGATACTAATAAATAGTACAAGGCAGGCAGGTACTCATAAAATCATAGTTGCCTTTTCAGAAGGAAGACCATAGTGATGTGTGATTTACCTTATCCATTTTTGGTATGCTGGGAGCTCAAGAAATGAAGAAAATTTATTTGCACATTGGAGCACAAAAGATGAGGTTTCTTAGCCATTGCATCATGAAAGTTTATTAAAAGGAGGTATAACCAAATTGAATTACACAACTGAGATATTGGTTTTATTTCATTGAGTTGAACAGTACATACACCTCATAGACACCAGATTTGACTAGTTTGGTAAAGGTAAAGTTGTTCCTGGAGCAAAAGTGTTTATTTAAGCACTATGCCATAAAGACATGTGGAGATACAGCTCCTCAGTCTTAACCTTGGTAGTAGTTTGATGTGGGTGATAAGCTTTTTGTCACAGTTGCTTTGTCCCTAAGGATAGGGCTACCCCAGGTCCATTGGATAGGAGCCTGGGTGGGTCCCAGGCAGGTGTGAAGAGAAAAATATCTGCTCTTGCCATGAATCAAACCCTGGATATTCCACCTGCAGCCTAGTCACTATACCAGCTGAGTTACTCTGGCTTACTGCCTTATACACTTGAGTATTAACACTGAGAGTTAGGTTTAAAGGAAAATAAACAGTTTTATAATTAGTTTAGTACCCAAATTGCATGTATAGATGGGCCATTAAAAATGTCTTTGTTAGACAGTTTATTTTTGGACAGTGTGGGGGGTCATTTACAGCAAAGAAGTTGTGATAGTGTACACAATATTGGTATCAGACATCAGTACATGGAATAATTTTTATTTTAGTCACAATTTTTGCTAAAATAATAATCTAAATTTTGGTTTTGAAAAGGTTTTAGAATATAATTTTGGCACATTTTGCCACAAAAAATGTCTGAAGACAGTTGCTTAAACTGTTGTGCCATTTTATTAATTTACCCATACTTGTAGCTTTATTTTACAATATATTAATCTTGACTCAGAAGCAATTTCTTGCAGTTGTATGAAGAAGTAGACCTCTGTTCAGATACCCTTGTTTATTTTTTGATTAGTACAAAAATCAACATTCACTTTTGCTGGGGCACAAGGTAAAGATGCTTAAAAATGCTGATTGTAATTCCTGTCAGAGGGATGTTAAATTTAATGTGATACTAAGAAATGTAATGTTCCACTTTTGTTTTTCATATTCCAGAGGAGATAATTCAAGAGATATTTGAACGTTGTGGGGAGATGACCACCATTAGATTGAGTAAGAAGAATTTCTGTCACATCCGTTTTGTATTTGAAAGTTCTGTAGATGCGGCAATTTATCTCTCTGGTAGGTAATTATATTATAATTATTTTCTGTTTTGAGGCTTGTAACTTGGTTAGTTTCTTTTGTTTATTGATTAACACTTCAGTGAAAACAGCAAAAATTAGTGAATACTGATGCTGAATTTGGCTGTAATTAATAAATCTGTTTTTGTGTTCTCTCATCTGTATACAGACTGATTTTTTAAATCTGATATTTTAAATCACTGAAGTTTTGCTATTATTTCAAGAATAAGATTAAATTATTATTAAGCTCTGTGTACATGTGGGAAACTTTAGTAAACTATTGGCAGCAACAGAAGTATTTGCGGTGGTTCAAAATGGAGGCTTGGTAAGCACATTTTCAAATTCACGTTTAGTGTCTGTGAGATTTGTGAGCCATAACTATTGTCACTGTCCTTGTCTTACCCTTTTTTTTTTACTAGGTTATCGCATTAGGCTTGGTTCTAATACTGATGGTCCAAATACTGGACGTCTGCATGTTGATTATGCACAGGCACGAGATGATCTGTATGAGTGGGAGTGTCGACAGCGTGCGTTACAGCGAGAACAAAGACACCGTGAACGGATGGAACAAGAGCGTATGCGACCACCTTCACCTCCTCCAGTTGTTCACTATACAGATCATGAAGCTGTCACAATTTCAGAAAAAATTAAAGGTCAGGATTTAATCAGCTTCCGTGTAATACCTATTATCTGTGAAAGTAGTATTATGAATATTATTTTTATATGAGTATTTCAGACATTTCATGTATGACAGTATCATCATGCATGAATGAGTTCTCTTAAGTATGGGTTGATACTGCTTGGACCAGATTACTTGCTAGCTGATTTCTGTAGTGCTGTAAATAGATGCACTTAGCATTGCCTAGTTGGTACATGGAATAGCCAGGTAGCATGATTGCTGTTGTAAACAAATTGACTCTTTTGTCAGTTTGTTATCTGTTGCCTATCATCAGGGTGATAGTGTCCTGATGATGGGGACAGCAGGCATTTCTGAAATGTTTGCACAGCAACTCAGATGACAACCACCAATAAGGCATTGTTTTTAAAATGGATAGAAAAAGTGTGGATGTGTGCACAGTGCAAACCACCTTTCTCTTCACCGTGCGCTAAGAACTTCCAAGTAATCTGGTCTATCAGTACATAGTATACATAGTAGATGACCAGTCTTGTGGTCATGTGTGCTGACACAGTGCTGAGCTTTGAATTGATGTTAGGACAGTAGTCAGATTTTATGTTCTGTTGAAGAAAATATTAGATGAGTGTCATAACTTGTTCAAGGAAACTTAATGACCTGCATACCATCGTTTGAAACTGTCCACTAATGCTTGAATCCCTTTAATGCCTGATGGAAAGTTCCAGCAGATTGCCTCCGTAGTTGTTCACTAATTGCCACTGATGCAGCATTTTGTGGGAATCCCGCCACCAAGCGTGTTTAATATTATTTCTGAACAACTGTAGAAGTAAAAGGTTGAAATTGCTGTTGAAAAGTTGGAAAGGTTTAAGTCACCAGGTATTAATTAAATTCCCTCAGGATTGATCCATGCAGGTGGTAAAACATATTCTGAGATCCATAAATTTGTTTAATTTGAATAAGGAGCAGTTGCTACCCATTATTGTAAGTCTTGCAGAGACGAAGAGATGGAAGATAGTTGTATACAGTAATACTTAGAGAACTGAGGAAGATGCTGTTATGTCTAGTTTAAAATATCAAACTCTGCAGTGCTTATATACATGGTGATTTCATTATCTCACATTGCTTGTGGTAAATGTTTTCTTCTAGCTGATGAGACATTCAGTAAAGCTGTGCAAGTTGTTATCACATGGCTCGAACGTGGAGATTGCAGTAAACGTAATGCAAATACATTCTACACAATGATACAGTCAACTAATTCTCATGTTCGCCGACTTTTGGGTGAGAAGGCACAGTATGAGGAAGAGCTTCAGCGGGCGCGTGAGCTGATGAAGGGCCGCATGCAGGGCATTTTTATCCAGTGTGAGTAACATTCTGACAGAATGGGTACATGTTCAAAACAAGGGACCATTATGCTGTCCTTCTTTGGGCTGAACATTTGCAATTTTCCTTACTTCCGAATTTCTTTTTTGTCCATTTTTAGAAATCCATGTCTTGAGAACTCATGCTTGGGTGATGGTCTTTTGTGTGTCAAAAATTGACTGGCTTATGAAACTTCAGACCTGTTAAATGAAATAATAATATTTTTTATTTGTTTAGAGATTGTCATTTGATCTCATAATCCTCTGATCTGTGAGGTAGCATTATTTGTAATAAAATAATGCATCAGCCTATATAAATTCCTCACCTAGCTTTTGTATGTTAACTTGTGTTAAGTGTGAGGTCCTTTATTAATATATTTTAGGGTCTAGATGTAGTGGCCAATACCTTTGAGGACCATCAAATATGAATTGAAGGCAAATGTTACAATTCCCTCCAAGAGCTGCAGTATGAAACTGTTGAATAAGGTAAACATGCAAGTGTGTTTAATCACTTAGCCTGATGACTTTTGCCTATGTATGCAAGGTGATTTTGTTTTGATTCATACTCACACTTGAAGTGTTAATATTCCAGACATTTATTTTTCATGTAAAGCTTATCTGCAGTAGTGATTTGATTTTTGTTATTAAAGAAGAGAAAGAGCATAATCAGCTGCATTACATTACATTAGTACTTGCATTGTGTTATTGTGTACATTGTATGTTGAAGAGATTTTATTGAAAGATTTTCAAAAATGAACCTAAAAGATGATGTTAGTTTTAATTCTAAAATAATAAATCTGCGTTTTCCACATACATTTTAGAATTCTTTCCCTTGAGCTAAATATTTTCAGTACATACACTTAAGGCCATCACATATGGACTTTTATCTTGACTGTTCCATCTGCTGAGCTTTCTAAATCAGATCACCACTTTGTTGTCCCTCACTTTTCAATGAAAGCATCTTTGAAATTCATCTCATGCCCTATCTTTTAAGGTACATTAGCAGATGAAGGTTTGATGATGGATTTAATTGTTTGTCTTCCATATTATAGCAAAATAGTATATTTTTCTTTAGTCTGAAGAAGACTGTACAACATTAAGCAATGTTGTTTTAAGCTGGTTTATTTAAAAAATCCAACAATTTTACTGTACTTTCTTATGATGGTTGATGCGTGGTGTTGCCGTTTTACATCAAGATCAGGGTGAGTATTGAATGCAGAGAGTCAACATAATTAATTCTGGTAAAAGTGAGACAAGGCATATCTATAGAAGTCAGTATTAGATTACTTTACCTAGGGGCAGAGTTTCTCAAACTTTTCTTGTCAGCTGTTTTGACAATTAATTAAAGATAAGTAAATTCTGGCCTAGCTTGCCTTTATTATATAATTCTGCATATTTCTTTCCTCCTTATATATCCATTTCTGTCATGAGGTAATTGATTTTACATTTTCACTTAGGTGGAATGCAATTTTTTGCTACATTATAAATGAATTTAATTTTTGTAGCATGTAAAATGTTCTTGTGCAATAATTATTAATTGTTATACTTATATCATATTTGTCCTGAATGGAGGTTCTTGTTTAATTTATTCTGTTGTGCATGGAATAACATAAATATAAAATATGTGTGTGAGAGAAATCAGAAAGAGTTGATCACTTTTCTCTGGACAAGAGACTAAAGAAATTTTTATGGAAGATAATATTTATTATTATGTGAACATGTCACTGTCAAAGTGCTTGTGGATAAAATACCAGTTATCATCAGACTGCCTTCCTTTCTTAGCAAGCTCATTTACAGTATGTGATGAACTTTAAAACTGAAGATTTGTTCCTTTGGTAATTTTTTGCTTATTACTGCGTTTTAGTATCAAACAGTTGTCATTTAGAATATTTAATAGTGTTCTTTGAAAGTAAATAGTTTTTTATTGAGATTCATAGCAATAACATTGTTAAGTTACAGCTGTATTTTATTTAAACTTTTAGTATTTAAATCACTTCAAATAATTCAAGATGTGAAATACAGACAGACATATGTCGCATAACATTCAAAGATACAATGCTGTTTTAAACTAAAGTGAACCTCACCTCACATGACAATTTTTATTCATCGTTATACCACTCTGTTTTATCTCGGTTGCTTATGTGTACTGTAGCAGACACTCATAAAGAGGAGGTAAAATTATGCAGAATGGTGAAATATTTTATTTCAGTGTTATTAACATTTCCATACCATTTGAGTCTATTTTTATGAATATTATACTAGTTTGAGAATTCTGTTCTGAGGAGATAGGAATGTTAACGACTGAGAAATCCTTGCAACTTACTGCAGAAGATTCAAAGCTTGGTTGCCAAAGAGATCTTGTCAGGTAGCTATAATTTTTAAGACCAATGGATTGCCATCCACATTTACAGGTGAAGGTAAGGATAAGTGGATTTCTAGTCGATAGCTTCCCTATGTCTTTTGCAGTTCAGTAAATTGAGGCCATTGTATGGGTATTGAGGAGTGTTACACTAGGAGTATGTATGTGCACATTGAAACCTCACTGTTTTTGTTATGCAAGATGTTCCCAGTATCCAACTTCAATTAAATCAAGGGATCCAGAATAACTTATTTATGAAGACTCGTAGAATTTATAGTGAAAAATATTATAATTTTATGTTAATTATTTTTATACTGAAACAATGAAAGTATATGCAATTCTTCACTTAATAACAGTAAAAAGTACTGTTATTATTGTATTCATAGTGACAAATATTATAAATATTTTTTTTAGTTCCCTATATTTTGTATTTTAATCAGTATTGCATTGGTGCATTCAGACATAGTCATAATTATTAAAGTCACATGGGAAAAAATATTTTGCTATAAATTGTCTTTTCTCTTACTTTTTCACTTATACTTCATAATTGTAAGATTATAGTGAAAAGTGAATTGTTTTGTTTGCTGATATAGAGAAAATAAATTAAAATTAAAATTAGAATAGATATTACAACTGCAGCATTTCACAGTGAGATAACTATATTAAATTTCCTGCAAAACTTTATATTTGTTTGTAATTTTTACATAGTACTCATGGGATGACCTTACAGTGTCCTTCCAACATTTTAATATACCTGGCTCATTTATTTAATATGAATATGTCAACAGTATAGATGAAAGGTGTGCTGGATTGCATTTATATTTAGCAGTACTGTTTCTCAACATTCTTAGATCTTCATTAAGAATGAGTAATATGGTCTTAGGCTTTAGAATTCTCCTCTCTCACAGTGAAGGAAGGGTTTGTAATTTTTATAAATTATTTATAGATCTTAATGTGAGTTTTCATTGTGCAAAGTAACAACTGATATTTAATAATTTTAGTTGCATCAGTTGCATAGTGGTGAGTAAATGGTACTGGCTGAAACCAATGCATCTTGGGACACTCAACTTGCTCGACTGGAAACAATTTCCTGATGGTTGCAAATGATTGGATACCAATACACAATGTATGGTGGAGTAAGGAAAATGTTACAAGTCAGTCTCCCGCTGGACATATATCTGACAATGGTATAGTACGTGGAATGTATGTGTGAGTGCTTCAGGTCCCTGGGCTTGTTTGATAGAATTGTTACAAAATTTTAAACTAATTTTTTGCTTTGGAAATTTTAATTTTCACTACTTGAATGTTGCAAATTTAAAGGAATGATATTGAATATTTACACGTTCCCTGTCATGCATTATCATTACATTCCAACATAATGGAGTTTCTAGGCAGCTCATTAATACACTGGATACTGAAATATGTTAACTGAAAATTTTTCTGTCTTGTTTTTTAAGTTTATGCCAGTTTAATTCTGTTCTGGGTATGCTTATTTTCCTTCTTTTGTATTCTTTGCAAGTACTAGAATGAGATATGGACATATTTTGTGTTCTAATCTTAAAAGTACTGCAGTTTATCTAAACCATTGTTTGTAAAATGTAATGATAAAATTTCAAAATAAGGTGGAACTAACGTTTTAGTTCTGCCAACCTCTTCAATTTAAATACCACTCATTCATGAGCATTATTTTTTGTCTACTTGAATTATTTCTGTGTTAAGCAACTGACAGTTCAACTTCTGTTGACCTTACAACTGTTATGATTTCCCTGACTATGTCAGTTGCTGGGAGTGTTCCCTGCCACTTTCTTAACTGTTATTCACTCGCATCTGTCTTTACCGCATTACAGTTATTTTTCTGGTTTAAATGTAGTCTGCTGTATGTATATTAAAGTCCATATGTAATTCATATAAATATGCGTAAGGAAACTGAATATATGCAATAAAATGAAAAAAGATAACATGAATGAATCACCGTAAATTTTTGTAATCACCTACAAGACCACACAACATCATAACCCAGAGGTACACAATTGACATTTTCATTGCCATGTGAACCTCAAACATCAGATGATTTTTATATTTACAAATCACATTTGTATTTGTGTAAGCATACTTTGCATTTCACAATTTTTATTTACATAATTATATACAATTCTATAAGCGTCCTTCATTTTGGTCTCATTTAAGGAGGTACTTATGTTAGTGGCAAGTGCCAGGGAGTGTTTATGTTGCTTAAAATTATTCATGAATTGTTCTGTACTATTAACAGTCTTTTAATCTATGGTAAATCTGAAACTGGTTTGTTTCTAGATGTCCGTCATTTTTATGTTTGAATTAAAACAAAAAAATGTATGTTTTCATTGATGTTACAACAACAAATATGCATTGAAAAGAGCTAAGGGAAAATGTGTTGCATTCACACATACACACTTGATAAGATATGTTAATTGGTGAAGGGCTAGCAGGAAGGATCCACCCTATGCAGGGTGATTGTTATTTCTTCTAACTGTGCTTGTCTCTCCTCATCGGTCAGTCGGTCAGATCGAGAGGGTTTTCTCAGCTGCCAGTCACAAGAAGGTTTGGGACCATTTCACCAAAGCCCAGAGAAAGAACATAGAAATGTGGAAGAAGCAATGTGCGGTACGTACATGTTGGGCACAAAATGTTTGGATCTGGTTTTCAGTAAGGAGATTTAAGGTAGAAGGATTAATAATTATACTAGTTGATGACTCTAATGTATTTATCATGATACTCACAACAGTGAAGTTACTGAAGGAATCATTGCAAAATGAGGGAGAATATTGAGGAAACCTGCCCAAAGTGGATGTGAATCACGAATGGAGTGAAGAGTCCATACTGTGAGGTCTGTCTGGTGGAAAGTCTTTGCATCTGTCACAAGACCAACTGCATGGCATATGTGGCAAAACTTACTGATGATCAGATCATTTTCATTTTTGAAAGGAGGATATATGAAAACATGATCAGTGAGAGTCACATAAGCATCCTGTTCTTTTCAAAATCCATGCCAAAGAAAGTATGTTATTTGAGATTACAATAAATCTCTTTTAATAAATATGTTCACTTTTAATGGACATTGATTTTATGTATGCGAAGAAGAGCCCAACAAATTGCGAGGTCTTGTGTCTTGTAGAATTACAAATTGTTTCTAGAAACTGATCATTTTTCAGTATCCTTAAAATGAAAGTGTGGCATGCTGTACATACAGAGTGACTTTTCAGCACATCAGTGAAACAAGATGGCCTGTTAAGATGGATACAACCCACATTTACCAAAACCATTCCACAAAAAAGCCAGTGAAACCCAGAATTGAAGAACTTTATGATTGTACCTGTTGTCTGTGTGGTGTGTGTTGTGTTTGCATTAGCATAGGCTTCTTTCACTGGCTTGTTTTTCATGTGATGCTGTACTAAAGGAACAATTTTTATTATTTTTAAATAGATTCCATTTGATTATCAAACATTTATATACTGGTAATTGTATTATTTATTATAATTATCAACTATATAGTGATATTTAAAAGAATTGGTACATCAGTGCTAAAGAACAGGGAAGGTAACTTAAAAAAGGTAGTACATTTCTTACAACTGTGAATAAGCCACATACAGATGAAATTCAGTTTGCATATTTAGGAGTAAATTGATTCTGATTGAATTGTCAAAATTCATTTTTATGCAACACAATGTATAAATTAGACTTGGAATTATTTATGATTCACACTTGGTTTTGTTCTATATTGAATGGAATATAAAAAGTGAATATATCATGTTCTATATATTGAAACTAGTATAGATATGAATAGCTTGGAAATCATACCCATTTTCACATAGTTCAAATAGATTAGTTTATAGAAGTTACTACTGCAAGGATCTGTGATGAGTGTGTCACTACATTCACTTTGGAATTTAATGGTAAATTTCTTTTAAAAAAGAGGGGCTCAATTTGTTGAGGTCATGAATACAACATTGATTGTTCACCATGAAAAGTACTGCAGGTTTTTGTTTTACATATATTTGTAAACTTGATGATAATTTAATGAGATGTTACAATATTAAACATAAGGGATGCATATATGTGAAACCTTATCTAGTTACTTCATTGACTCCACACATTACTGATTTAGAATAAAGTTGTTTTTTGTAGGAATATATTTTAATATTTGTTGTGCAAATGACGGTGGGGTTCTTGGATTTTGTCTCTATCATTTTGACTTATCAGAACAAGCTCTTAGCATTTTGTCTGCAAGTTGGGCACACTTTGTTCATGTTAATTTGGTACAAAGTGGCATCTGCCATGGAACATTCTTAATCTCTGAAACTGAATTCTGTGGCAGAATACAAAATTAATCTGTATTGGCTTTGTATATAATAAGGAAATGTAGCATACCAAGTAGTATGTATGTTGTACATCTCTTTATTATTAAGGTTATTGGAAGACCACAATCAAATTTTTACATTTCATCAATCTTTTGAGTGTCAAGTGTAAGTTATTTTAATTGTAGGAATACAGAATTTTACTTTATAGCTGTATATGAAGCTGACAAACATGTAGCAGTAGTCTACTGTAAGAATTAATTTAAAATTATTTGACTTAATTCACCAGGTTACAAGTATTAGAACGTTACATGGAATTGTTTGTTGTATAAAACTTATTTATGATTATTATTATCTTTACAGTTTAAATATCGTAGTAGTATAGATAAGTGAATAGTGAACTTGGTTCTCTGATGGCCTTAATTGTAATTGGTGTGATGTAACAGAAGGTAACAGGTAAAGCTTGAAAGGGAATGGTATCCTGTATTTCTGATAACGTGTGCTTGATGTAGGCACTTGTAAGAAGATTATGTTCATGTTTCTTATTTATAGTTAAGAGAATGTTGGATTGGTAATTTGTCAGTAACAATCGAAGCAGCATAAGGAACACCAGTGATTATACAGGTAGGTAACAAAATGGACAGATGGAAAGTAACAGAATCAGAGGTATTTATATAAGTTTTATGTACATGTAAAACAGCTTATTTTATTGTCTTTGTAAAGTGTAAAAGAAATTATTGGCATCCTCAGAATTTTCTGCAATCTTTGATATCATCTTATGTTAGATGTTTGCATTTCAGGACGCAGTATGTTGATGATAAAGTTCTTAACATACTGTTTGACTCTGTATCCAGATGTTATTTGTATTAGAGTGGCATTTACATGGTTCAATTTACTCTAATAGCCTTGAAACTACTATTTATTCTTTGGAATGTATAAATCTCAACCTTCATTTCTGAAAATGAAAAATTTAGTGCAGATGTGTTATCTTTATATTTGACACAATCCAGGATGATAGGTAAAAAAGTACATAAAGTATCATTCCTGGGGATTTTTTAGCATTCTTTCTTTATAATAACTTAAAAAGTCTTTGAATTTGTTATATAAAAGTAAGATTAAAGAGTCAAATGTCATAATGTTATTAATCTTATTCAGACAAGTTTTGAATTATTAGAACCTTTGATGTTGAATATTTTTACTTGCTATGTGAAAGGGGAATGGAATTAACAAAATGCAGATCCAAGGACAATGAATATTGATTTAATTTTATTAGTAATAATACTAATTTTCAGAAAGCATTATTAGGGCAATAAAACAAATGAGGATGAGATGAACAGTGTATGCAGCAATGCATGAGAGACAAGATATACGTGTGAAGTTCTGATTGGAAAGTGAGGGGAAGAGACCACTTGCAAGACCTAGATATAGATGGGAGGATAGTGTTAAGATTTTACAGGAAATAGGCAAGGATGTGGATTGAATTCATCTGGCTCAGGACTTGTTTTGCTTGGAGGGACTTTGGAAAACATCCATCAGCTGGAATCTCCCAAATATGGAGCAGTTCTTCACAGAAATTCTTGTATACTTTCCAGTCTACCAACAGGCAGATGAACATTTTCTCTCTATATAGTGTTTATGTCATGTTTAACTGCTCAAAGAAATATTAAGAATTGTTGAATAGTGGAACTGTCATGTGGGAGTAGGTCTTGTTTGATTCTGTTTATAATCCTTTTACAGAACTGTGTGAAGAGAGGAACTGCTAGGTGCAGTATATTTTAGTTAAATATGTTCTTACATTACTTTTATTCATAATATTTATAACAGTCTATCTTCTTGTTGCCCTCAAAATGGCTCATAAACATAATAGTTATTATGAAATATTATTAATCATTATAATGTGCATGGCCTCTGTTCACCATGACAATTGCACATGGTTCTGTAATTTTCTGGGTACAGCGGTTTTGTATTTCACTGCTACTTGTTTATTTTATTTATTTTTTGTGAATGTTTGTATGTTATTTGTGTTATTACAGTTGTTTGATTCATAGCTTGGTTAATGGAAACACAGACTTATAATTTAATAAGGAATTAATTTATGAAAGAGCACCTTTCGTAAAGCAGTTTGTGTGCATAAGTTCTGTTTCCTCCATATGTTTTAAGATGCATCATTTCACCATTTATACCTCAAAATGAAAATGATACATAAAATTTTTCATGATATGCATGCTAGTAATCAGTAATTCTAGTTTAATTTTCTGATTTTCTCTCACTGTTATGATTTTTATTGAGGAATTTACATGTTGTTGATGTAGTTTATACCTTATTAATAGCAATTCAAGTCTGGCGAATTGGTCAGACTAAGTGCCATTCTATGAAACTGTTTCTGTGAATTGATGCATAATTGAATGACAGTTTTTGTTTCTGTTGTACCAAGCACTATACTAAATACATTCTACTTCTCTTGTCATTTCATTCAAATATCTTTATGGGTCATGAGTATTCAGGCAGTAACTATTAAGAGGACCAGTTGTGATCATTAGTCTTTGATCCACGCGGTACAAAATGAAGTATAAAGTGAATGTAGGAAATTCAAAGAATTGTTGATGATTGGGAAATCAGTTATTTAACCAAAAATTTTTTGAAATATTAAATTATGTTGTAAATACATATTCCTCAATATTTATCACCCATGCAGTGAGGATTGTGCATGATCGAGCTAGCTGTGCCTGGCCTTACCACATTATCATACTGCTAAACCATTGACCCCCACAGTTGAAGTCCAGCCAGCACAGCCTTGTAGTATGGAATATAAATCCTGTATCACCATATGGTAATGGTTGATATGAAATGATCTTTTAGCTTGGTTTATTTGTAATTCAGAAAGTCATCAAATTCCACAATATTTATAATAGACGTCACTTAAATTGGCCTAAAATTTAGACAAATATTTTTATGGCTGATGATCATGAAACTGGAATATAATCAGTGAAGATTGCAGGAATAATGGGGAGCCCAGTAGAATGGCAGTATTGTGACATATGGTTGGGTGGTGTTTACAGGAAATCAAGACGGTGCAGCTGGAGGAGGTGTTGAATGAACGGGCTGATGAGGAGATGGAGGTGTCAGACAATGAGGAAGATTACATGGGAAACCCAAAAAAGAAGAGTCGAATTGATTCTGAGGATAAAGCAAACCTTGCTGTGATTAAGGTGAAGAATTTAGTTTTGCTTGTCATTTATATGTGAAATTACTATCCTTCTTGGTGTCATTCATTCAGCTTGTTTTATCCATCCAATGGCACTGCAGCCCAAGTTCAGGTCTTGGTCTCCTCCCATGTGGGAGGTTTCCTTGTCTTTGGAGTGTGCATTTGTGAGTAGTGAATGACAAGCCCACTGCCTCTGCACAACTTTTACTCAGTCCTGATTTGTCTGCTAGAACCATCTAGTAGAGAATCAGAAGAGACTTTAGTGAGAAATGGCCACTGAATTTTGCTTATGAAACATCTCGTTCATGCTGTAAGTCTATGACATGGGACTGCCGGCTTTACTTACCCTCCGAAGGAAGTTGTGCTACAGATTTTTATCACCCTTAAAAGTCCATCAATCTCGGCCGGATTTGAACCTACAAACCTTGGGTCCAGTGGTGAGCATGCTAACCACTAGTCCACCGAGGGCAACCAGTTTGTTTTATGCTATATTCCAGCTTCTTCTGTAAAGAAAACAAGTACCAGGAAAACAATAACTACAAACTTTAAGCAGAACCTGTCAGCACATTATCTGCTTTGCACATTCATGAGGCAGTCTGTCAGGAAATATGCCTCTGCCCGGTCACATTGTTGACTTCACTATACACACATCAACAAAGTACTGTTGATGGTGTATGCAATACCATATTATAAGCTGCAAATATGAAGTTATTCCTTCCTTCTGATTTTCTCTTTCAACTTTATATGCATATTATATTCTGTTTAATGATATTTCTCTTTAATTTTTTATTCATTCATTTCCCCTTGCCCAAAATTTGCCCCCCAAGGCAACCACCTAGTTTGCCTACTGGCTGTAGATGCATCTGGGAAATAAGTGTACTCCAAATTCGAATGTTCCTCTCTTCTTTGAATAGGTTTATAGTTTTCTCATAGATTTGCTGAGAGCAAAGAAGAGGATCAAGATAGGTCAAGGTATTCATATTATTCCTTAAGGTAGAAAATTTGTTTACTTTTATTATAGGTATGATGGAGGTATTGTTATGTTGATTGTTTTCAGGAAGAGAATGACAGTTTGCGATGTCAATTGGAAGCATATAAAAATGAAGTTGATCTGGTGAGATCTGACCTCAAGACTGAACTGGAACAGAAGGAGAAACAGTTGAAAATGTTGCAACAGACCCTGCAAGGAATGCAGCAAGTAGGTTTTGGGAAACAGTGAATCTAATAATCTGCTAATTAATGGTGACCAGATGGCTTTATGATATACCCAACCTGTTATAAAAGGAGTCTTGCTTCAATTTGTTTGGTCATTATCAAGGAGAGAATGAGCACTCTTATAAGATTCAAAGCATAAAATTAATTGTAGTACTGGGGGAAGTGTTAGTAGTTGAGGAAACCTATTGTCTAAAAATATGGGACAAAACTGAAAATTTTATTTTCATTTTGACTAGGCATTCTTTTTGGTGTATCAGAAGCAAAGATCACGCTGTTCATATTTCAGAGGCTGCAGATAAAATATTCCTTTAAGTTTCATTTGATGAATTTATGGACTCAGTCGTTCAGATGCTGGAGATAAGCTACATAATTAATTTTTGCGGTATAAACTGCAATTTGACATAACCTCAGAAACTAAGTTGAATGAATTTAAGTCAGGAGATCCTTGAGCCCATTGTTCTGTTCCTTGTACCGTTCCACTGTCAGATCATTTCATATTAAATCAACACAGAAAAGTACAGTATTCAACTTGACTCCATCAGATTTTAATAAAATTCATTGGAGTACAATCCTTCATACAAGTAATTTGCTGTGTCAAATTTTAGACCCATAAGTATAATAGTTTTTGATTTATTGATATTTTGAATTAAAAGGTGCCATTTTATGGTGACCTTTGATATTTTTAACTGTCATAACTTTGTCCCTGGAGCCACAAGTTAGCAAAACGAAATGTGTTATATGTTCTCTGTCATATATAGCTCAATATTTATTATATTCTTTAGTCTCTGATTACATATGCCTCAAGATTTGGGGAACTTGTTTAAATATGTTAATTGTGAAGGACAGGTTTAAAAGGTGTCTGTGGCTGATTTTAAAAGTTTGTAAATTAGTGAAGTTATTACCTTCATATAGCATGTTTTTAAACTGGTATTTACAAGCTTTTTATTTGTATTTTGTAGCAACTTATGGAATCAAAGCGGCGGCAGTCAGAAGATGAAATTAAGGTTCGAGAGCTTCAGGCACGACTGAAGTCAGCAGGTGAGATGCAGGCACGTCTCCAACTAGCTAAAGCAGAACAGAGTGGAGACCTGATTGGAGACAACAGTCAACCATCAACAGATACTGTTGGTGATGCAGAGGATGAGGGAAAGGCAGATACAACAGAGACACCATCTTCTTCAGCTTCCAGGTTGTCAGACAGGGAAGCAAAATTGATAGGTATATTGATGCTATTATAAACTAACAGTATTCCAGCGCTGCCCTCAGTGGACTAGTGGTTAGCGTGCTTGCCACTTGACCCAAGGTTCACAGGTTCAATCCAGGCTGAGATCGATAGATCTTTAAGGGTGATAAAAATCTGAAGCACACCTTTTTCCAGAGGGGAAATAGATGGCTCTATCAGACAAATCAGGATTGAGTAGAAATTGTGCAGATGGAGTGGGATTGTAACTTACTACTAATAAATGCAGACTTCAAAGACAAAGAAACCTCCCACATGCGAGGAGGCCAAGGCTCGGCTTCAGGCTGTTGTGCCATGGAGTCAGTCAGTGCTTCATACACTCTCATTTTCAATTACCTTCCAGAATTCTGTGTATATATATATATGCACAAAGTGCATTTGATTGATTCTTCAAAAACAAATCTTAGATATTAACATTTATATACACAATTTTTGTGTCATAAACAGAGGCCTTTAATAAAGATAAAACCCAGAATGGCTAAAGGACATAATTTTAACCTTACATATTAATCTAAATTCCCAATATAAACCCCATTGATTTACTAGGATATAGTTAATTCAGTTTACTTAAGTTTATCTTCTTTGTTAGGTCTCCTAGCAACTTTTCTTCATGTACATCCATTTGGTGCAGGAGTGGATTATGTGTGGTCATATCTCCAGAAAATGGAACCAACTTTACGGCCTGGTGAAGTGGAGTCTCTTATGAGTCGTTTCCCAACTGTATTTCGTCAGGAATTGTCTGGTATTGGTGCCAACATGGAAAGACGTTGGCAGTTTGCAGGTTTTAAAACAAATCTCAGTATCTGAATTTTAGTCATGCTTGACATGAGCATAATGTCATCATTTTATCATCTTCAGAGCTTTGAGCTGTTTTCAGTAATCTCAAGATTAAGAATAAGGAACTTAATTATTGCATAATGAATTTTTCATATTTTCATTCTGGTATATCAGTATGGAGATACTTATAATTTATGTAATAAACATCTATCATCCAACAGTACTTAGTTCATATTATATTTATACCTTTTACATGACAATTTTTATTCACAGTGTACTTTTTGTATTGGAATATTGTATTATGGCACAGAACGGTTGTGTGATGAATCAAAATATTAGGCAGAGAAATATTTAGGAATTAGATACCTCTTTACCCTGACACCTTTTATGTGTTCTTTGTACATTGTGCATAAAGTGATTAAATATTAGGCTGATCATGTCTGTTCATCTGTCCATATGTTTCAGCTGAAGAAACAATAGTTTTTGATGAAATTTGATATGAGCATTATGCTATTGCAGGCCATCCCAAACTTGTACTTTTCAGTTTCCTATGATTCATTTGTCCCCTCTGTATCTTTATCCATATCTTCACCTTCAAATTCATCTTCAGAATTTTCACCTTTAAGTTCATCTACCATAAATATAGTTTCTTTCTTTTTAGTTTTGTCTGAAATTAGTGCTTCAGCTTTAATTTCATATTCTTCTTCTACTTCATGTGCTTCTGCTGCAGCTTGTATTGCAGCCAATTCCTGCAAGATAAAACATAACAGAAAATGGTTTCAGTACAATGGGTGTCAAAGATACGTGATATTTAACATTCAGTTAATCTTATAATTTTATTAAATGTTATATTTTCCTCAGAAAAAAAGTATTTCGTTATATAGGAAATTAAATTAGCTATACAGAGTACAATTTTGATTGTTGTTCTTCATCTGTCATTGATTAAGGCCCTCTAAACCTGCTAATTTGATTGCTTACAATTTATTTTCTATGTAGCATAAGGAAGATGTGCCATAGTAGTTTAATGTAAAATCAGATGTAAATCACTCGCATTCCCTTTAATTAAATCTCTTCTACTTTGAGAGTTTTACTGCATATCCTATCCCTATTCTTCAGTTTGGAATATTTTACAGACATTCCTCCTTTCTTCTCCCATAAACTACATTTTTGTGTTGGTATGGCATCCTAAGAACGTTTGTTGTAAGTGTATCTCGTTGATTAATTTACGAGTTTGGAATGATTTTATTAAATGAGAATATAGATAAAAAAACAATGTCCTTGAGCATCATCAACAGTAATAAATGTCTGTTTGGTATTGGTATGTGAGTATTGTTAAGCTCTGATTACTGAATGGCATGTTTTTATTACCAATTCAATAATAGTGAAAAAATCTTTCTCAGCATTCTTGACAGCAGAATCCAAGATTATGGAGGGTGTATTTATTGTCTCTTTGCCTGAAATATCTCTGTGTAAGCTTTCAGCCATCTTTGTTCTTTGACGCAGTCTTATCTCTCGATTTCTTGCTTCAAGTATTCTTTCACGGCGACTTTCACGTTCCAACATCTGTAAATAAAATTTATGTTCGTATAAGTTCATTGTAGGTTAATCTGGATTTATAAATCAGTTAAATTATACATTTTGTTGATATAACACAGAAATTGCATACTTGCAACATGATAATGAGAAGTAATGTAATTCTAATTGTTGGTACATAGCCCTTATGGGATATGCATTATTCATATTTTCCTTCCTGTTTGAAAGTTATAACTTACAGCAGTTAATAGAGCTTTGTCATTGCGCTGTGTTGTAGCAAGGCTTTCATTGAACTCCACAAGGTACGAAGTCCCCAAATTGTTACCAACTGCAACTAATTGACCCTGGTCATGTACCCTAAGGCTTCTCAACTGATAGTCACAGACCTGGAATACCACATGCTGTTTATTAGACATGATAAATCCTGCAGTTCATTTGTCTTGTAAAATGCTGTATCATTAAGAATGCTTAACTATAAAATACCTCTGCTACTACGAGGCGCATCCACAAAGTAAGTTTCCCACTCGTCCCACAGCTAGCAAACCTTATATTGCGCGAAGCGACTGTGCGTACGTGATAGAGCAATGACGTAGCATGGCGCATGCACTAACGGTACTTCCCGCGTTCTCACAGTAGCATCGTTGCAGCTGTTGAAGATGGAGGTT